TATAATTAGCTAACTTAAGGCAAAACTCTATACTGGATTTTGTTATTTCACATGTAACTAAAATATTGATGACTGTCCTATTTGCTTAGTTATGAGTCTCAGGAATAATTAAATAATATAAGATTTTCACCTTGGCAGAGTAACTGTGGCTTGTTTTATCACAATGCCTACTATAAACATGGCAAATAATATAATAATATATTCTAAACAATGTAAGGAATTACTTATATCCTTAGCTTTTAGGACATTGATATTTCTGAAGTATATATACCACTAGTTTTATGGGGTATTCTTCAAGTTTTATTTTTCTTTTGTTTCTTTGTGATCAGATTTAGATTCTGATTTTTTGGTTAGAATATTGTAACCAAAAAAGTGTAAGTGACATTGTGACTTGCAGAATATCACACCTATTGGTACTTTGATGTTCATTAGCCACTTTTTGATGATGTTAATTTTGATCTCATGGGTAAGGTGATTTTCTCCACTGTATAACTATTCTTTTCTTTTATAAGTAAAGAGCAACTGGGGGTAGATACTTTGTGACTATGTAAACATACCCACATGAGACTTTCTCCACTTTGATTCAGTGTCTACTGACGATTCTTACTCGACTCAACTTCTTGTAACTTTTGGTTTTGATATAATTTCAAACTTACAGAAAAGTTGCAATAATGATATAAGGAAGCCCGATATATTCTTTATCCCAATTTACCAAATGTTTACATTTATTTTATGTTTTTAATCTGTGAAATGGTAAAATAAGTGTTACCTATCTCACAGGGGTATTAGTTTTCTTTTTCTTCTATTTTCATTGAAAAGAAAGGTTTTTAAATTGCTTTATGTATCTATAAGGTATTAGTTTTATAATACTAGTTATCCTTTCTATGTTTTCTCTTCATTTAAGCTTTCTGAATACTGATTATTTTCTGTGAAACTTCTTGTATGAGTGTTTGTATGCACAAACACATAGGAAGTCAGCAGTTTTTTTTTTTTTTATTGCTCTGTCATGTGGCCATGGGACAAATGTATCTCTATCACAAAATTTAATAGAAAAGGCTCTGGAAATTAAGAAAGCCAATCTATGAATGCTTTTATTCATGACTCTTTTAAAAACTACTTTCCTATATGCTTTAATTTATTTCAATTCAATTCTACAGGTAGATGTAGAATGTGCCTACTGTATGCTGGCATTATTCTAAGTGCTCTGGATATAGCAATGATAAAAAGGACAAAAACCTTTGTTCTCAAGAAGTTTAGAATCTTAGGTGGTAGTCAACAAATAAATACTGTGTATTTTCTGATAGATGGCAAAAAGCCTTAAGAAAATAATGCAAGGCAAATAGTGGTACAGTTCACTTATTAGTTTTCTGCTACCCAGGGACTAATAATGTGGTTTGTTAATTTATTGATCCTGCTTCTCTGTCTTCTGGACATTTGTTATGTCAGTCATTCTTATTGTTAGTTGAGGCCAAAGAAACTCTAATCTAGAAGTTATTTACTTGGTTCGACTTAGGGAGTGAGTAGTACGTGAGTCTTTCAAAACTGGATGCAATTATCCAAAATTAGAAGAATGTGTATACATTATTCTGAGATAAATTTCTGTACTCTTCATTCAGTTATCAAATAGTCTGTGATCCAAAATATTTAAGTGATGACTCCAATGTGTCCTTTCTTCTGGCCACTTGGCTAAGTAGTTTTGTGAATAAGTAACAAAGTCTTGATTAACATGAGGTTTGCAGGCTGGCCATTGTGTGCCTATCTCTTTAATCTTTAAAATTACAGTTGTATCTTTTTGTCATATGACTTTTTAATAATTTTCTAAAATGAATATAATAAGTAGAACATTGTAAATATGTTTAAAATATATAATTTGGTTTATAGTTTTAATATCAAAATACTTGATAGTATACTGTCACACAATACTTGTGTGATATATATTTTAAGTTGTATTTTCAAAAGAGAATTTATAATGTCAGCAAAGAAGGCTAACTCATAGCCATATTATAAATATACACATATCTAGTTGAGGAGAGAATATACAGATTGGACAGAACACTTAATTGGAGAAATTGGGAAAGGAGGTGCCACTACCTCAATATTTGACAACGTGCCATTTAACCCTTTACAACGTAGTGAGGCAGGTTTTATTGTCTCCATTTTGCAGATGAGGGAACTGAGGCTCAAAGAGGTGAATGTGTAGCTTGCTTAAGGTCAATTAGTATGGAACTTCACAGCCCACACTCAGCTGCCACTTAGCAAACCAAATGAAAGCTAGGGTAATGTTTACTCATTATAAAAAGGATTTGTGGACAAGCTCTGGTCTGCAGATAATATTGTATGTGTGACAAGTAGGAGGGGGGTGTGTGTGTGTGTGTGTGTGTTTGTGTATGTGAAGAACCAACCAAATATTAGCTGTATAGGTTGCAATCCTGCCTCCTACCAAAGCTATATCCGAGTGGAAATACAGCTTTTTTCTTCCCCTTTCAGACATTCATTTTCTTGTAAATACTTCTTCTTGAAAGTTTGTATATGTTATGTGATTGATCACTTGTTTGAGAAGAATCTTTAGTGTTGACTTTGTCAGAGGCTGTTGTAGGTCACAAAGATATAAAGGTGAATAAGACTCCAGCCGTCTCCTAATGGAGCTAACAGTCTACTTTGGGGAGATAGACATGTAGGCAAATTATTGCAATACACTGATCTAAATGTTAATAGAGAAAGGTGCAGAGTGTTCAGGGAACAGAGTAGCAGACTGCAGAGGGAAGGGAAAGGAGAAAAATCACAGAGAAGGTGACATGGGAGCCAAAGAATAGACATGTGAAACAGCATAGTGTGTTCTGCGAATCTTATTTGGTTTAGTGTGGCTAAATTATAGATAATTAGTAATATGTTTTAGAACATAGGACTGGAATAGCGTTATCACATCCTGAGGGGTTTTGTATACTAGACTTAGAACTTGAATTTGGATTTTATTTTGTAGGTAGTAAGGAGCAATGGAGAATTTTCAGAAGGGAAGTGGGATGATGAGATGAGGTTCTATAGGGGGAAGGTAGCCCAGTTAGAAGACCATTGTTGTAGTCTGAGAATATGTGGATAATGAGAGGAGTCATGAATTTTGGCAAAATTTGAAAAATGTTTGGAAGATACTATAGAACAAATTAGGTGACCAATATAATACTTTATAGTTTCCCAAATCCTTTGAGTGTGCATGTTATTTGGCATTATCAGTAACCCAGAAACATAGGTAGTTCAGACAGATTTATTTCCATTTTATATGAGGAAATTGAGATCCTGAAAGATTGTGGTTTAACCAGGGTCACATAGCTAGTGAAAGCTTAGCAGGAACCAAAGCATGAGCTTCAAATTGAGAGTTCTTTTTGATTTGTCTGCATCATCTCTATGCAGTGCCTAAGCATACACTAGTTAATATCAAGGCCTGATCCAAGTGGGTTGTGTGTTTTAATTTATTCACTTAATATTTCTCTTCATTAGTTAAGTGCATAATGTAGAGGATAGAATCAATTAAATAAGGTAAATGCAATGTCCTACAGGTCCATATGAATACCTAGAATGTGCTTTTCAATTAAGACAACATGTATGCAAATGTTTTTCTATATATGATAATGGTTATGCTATTTATTCGTTTCTTTGGAGGGTCTATTGCATGTGATTTTTGATAATAGTGGCAGGCTAGTATCAGAGACTATGCTTACTGTAATCACTGTTAAAGATTAGTATGTAAAGAATCCTTACTTAACATGTACCATTAAATTTATTTTTTTATTAGGTATTATAAATATATTATAGATTACAACATCTCCCATCTTTTTACCCATAACCTCTAAAAGGTTTAGTGCCAGAAAGAACAGAACTGTATCTTTATTTTCTCATTACATCCTCTCTCAAATAGATAATACTTTCATTGCTCTCTTTCCAACTTGGCTTTGAGTCACTGCTGTGATTCTAACTGTTGAACAGTCTTTCAAATTAAGCGATTAGTATTCTAGTCAAGGAAAAATTGTTGTGAGCCTGCCATTCTTACCCAGTATTGCTAAGGTAGTTTTACTAAATCTATTATTAGGGTCATGTTGTCAGAGGCATATGACAACTGCATTTCACAAAACTTCCCTAAATATTGATGCTTCCCTAAATATTTACAGGAAATTAAATCTAAAACCTTATACTTCTGATGCTGGAGGCACCAATAAACTGTCAAGTTCAGCATAAAGCCACATCTGTGCTTCTTAATAATTTATAAGAAAAGTTAACTCTGCTTTAGTCTTCCTTTACTATTTTTGTCTTACTTGATTAAAATTTTGCTGTTTTGTTAATTAATAAATTCAAAGGAAATGTTCTGATTAGTTTCTTTTGTAACTGGGAATGACAGTAAGAGTACCTTGGAAAGTATGATAGTCTGCTGGATAACATTTGCTGGGTAAGAGATATCAATTCTCTGCCTACTTAAATTCATTGTGTCTAAAGGTGTGAATTTCTTAACATCAGAATACTTTAGTTTTCCTCTAAAGAAAAAAAGCAAATCTTACGTGTATAATAACTAATGTAAAGATTTTTGAAAGACAATGGGAAGTCATTAAAATGCTTTTCACCTATTTATGCTGTTTACAAGTTGAAATTTGTAACTATTTAAAAATCATTAGTTTTAAAAAATACTATTTAAAATAGTAATTTACTATTTAATATTTTAAAACCATTGGCTCTTTTAGCATATTTCATTGCTTGGTATTAGAATTTTTTATTTTTAGAATAGAGTATATTTAAAGATGACTTTTGCTGTTAAATTTGACAGGTGGGGCATGAGGCCAATCTAATAAGTCCAGAGGGAGAATTTGCAGAGTATGCAGGTTAAAGGAGCCCTGGAACTGACTTTCTCTGAAGCCTAGGCTATCCATATACATTCCTGCTCAGTGGAGATTTGCTTAAAGTTGACTGTTTTCTTCCTTCCTTACCATCTGATTCCAATCTGCACCTATCTTTTAAAGCTAGAGACTGTTGGATGGCAGCTTAACCTTCAGATGGCTCACTCTGCTCAAGCAAAACTAAAATCTCCTCAAGCTGTATTACAACTCGGAGTGAACAATGAAGATTCGAAGGTATGAAATGGCATGCCATTAAAAGAATGTATTTTGTTTGTTAGGACTTACTTAACACTTTTTATTCTTAGCAGTCTTTGCTCTCAGGATTTAAAATTTAAACATAGTTGAGTTAAACAATTATTAATAAGTGTATCTTTTTTGACAGATACTGATGTCAGATTTAAATATCACTGTTAGGTATTTAAATGTTAGATATTTAAATATCACTGTTACTTACCTATAGCTTATCAAGAAATAGCTTATCTTGCAAGGTACCTTTCTTACAAAAATATTTCATAATGTCTTCTTTTAAATTCTGTAGTTAAAAAAGTTGGTGAAGACCAAACAGAATTACGAATTTAATGGTTTAGGTATTTGTGGGTATTGCTGAGTATTCCATGTTTTAAGCTGAATATGTGTAGTAGCGCAAATATTGTTTGTTGTCCAGCTATTGCCTGGAACAATATGATGGTGACCTGAATTGTATTTTTATTTTGTGTGTGTGTGTGTAGTATGCCTACATGTATTTAAATCCCAGCTTTTGAGAAATAGATTTTTTACACCACATGGTGCTTTTTACTTTATTATTAATTTCAGAACAACTTGAACATGATTATTAAAAATCAGAGCATTGCTATAAAATAGTTTTTCATACTGTGGCATATAGGGAAATATATCTTTCAGATATGACAAGAGCTTTTTATCATATATTATAATGTAATTGATCATCTTTTAAGATAGAAGGGAAGGAGTGACTTTTTCCTCCTAAGTAGATCACACTATCTCATCTTAAGACAAAATAAAATTGAAAATGAGATAGTAGGGAAGATCTGAAGAAGGAGATTACAGTGGCTGAATGTGATAATAGAATAATGGAAGAGATGTTTTTGTTTCTAACAGGAATCGAAGGATGCAAATATTATGACTTTTTTGTTAAAACTTTCACTATTCATTATATTATCCACATTTCTGGCTTCTTTAACAAGTGCCTAGCCCAGGTTATATTACTACAAAATTCTCTGCAATTGACTTGAGTCTTATATAGAATTTATTAGTTTATTACAGTGTTTCAAAAGTGTCATTTTATTTCACACATTTTCACTGGAAAGTAACATGAACTTAGTGGTTAGAGTCAAGCTGTTACAGTATGTCTAGTGGTTTCCTGTTACCAGCAGTTTTACCTTCCGTAGTTTCAGTTACTTGCTGTCAATTGCCATTTGAAATAGGTGAGTACAGTACAGTAAGATGAGAGAAAGAGACCATGTTCACCTAACTTTATTACACTGTGTTGTTATTGTTGTTCTATTTTATTATGACTGTTGTTAATCTCTTATAGTGCCTTATTTATAAATTTAACTTTTATCATAGGTTTGTATGTATGGGAAAAGACAGCGTATATGGGGTTCAGTACTAGTCATGGTTTCAGGCCTCCACGGGAAGTGTTGGAATGTATCCCCCACAGGGGAGGGGGGGGACTACCGTGTGCTCTGCAGTTTAGTGTAATGTAATCTTGGGCAAATTACTTAATCTTTGATTCTCAGTTTCTTTATCTGTAAAATATAGGTAATGGTATCCATCCACAAAATTTTTTTGAAGACTGAATACCTAGTATATGTAAAGTGCTTAGTCCAGTGCCTAGTATTACAGCATGTGCTCCATAAATGCTGGCTACTACCATCAACATCAATAAAACTTTTTATTTTTTGCTAAAATAAATCCATTTGTTTTAATTCAAAGTTCTCAGTTTATTTCCTAATGAAATTATTACCTCTTCCCTCATTCCTTGCATTCCCTCCCCCTTTTTTCTTGATTATATTTTTTATATGTATGCTTACGGGAAATAAGGGAGAGGAAAAAGAGCTTGGAAAGTCCCCCTTTTTTTTTTCTTCCGTGACCTGAGTAAGGTATTCCTTGAGGTGTAGGATAATGATCTGGAACTCAGCAGCGTATACTGGAACTATTCCATGAGTGAAAATACATACATACATGCACATTCCAAGTAGCTGTATACTTCCTTTGTTTTGTTTTTCATCACTACCTAATGTTAAGTCTGTGTAGCTAAAAGCATTTTGTACGGTGGAAGTATACTATTTTCACCACATATATTGGATATGCTTTAAGCATCATGACTTCTGCAATGCTTGCTTCCAAAGTCCTTTTCCAAGTCCTTCTAGCATCTTTCTTATATCTTCAAAGTATGCCTATGTGTCTGTTATATTTTTAGGCTGTAGGAATAAAAGAGTAATGCTTCAAGTAGGACAGCCATGTTAATAAGACATTCAGATTATTCAGGAAAGATGTGACTATCTAGATGTGAAATCTAATTCATTTGAAATATGAGCTTGAGTAGATTTATATTTTTCTGTGTGTTTGAATTTTGAAAATTTGAATAAATGTATGTATGCACATTGATTAACCTTATACCTTTAAAGGTGCAGAGCTAGAGCACCATTTTAATTAACAAATATGCTTAGGAAGAAGAGCAGAAGCACACATACATAAAGGATACTTTCCTTTCATTAAGCGACTTCTTCGTATTGCCTTTCTCTTTTATAACATTGTACACATTTAATGCCTGTGTGTTGTATCTCCTAAACAATAGACACATAATGAAGTATAGAGCTACCACCACCTGGGCAGAAACATACTGTCTCCAAGTGATGTGGTGTGCCCTAGCTGTGAAGGAACGGTTAACTACTATACCTGTTTTCCTCAGTGAACTGCTGCCTGGAATTATTGCTCTTTCCTTTGTTTATCTCTTTGTGTTTTTAAATTTATATATATTTTATTGTTTTAGGTTTTGGGGTGCATGTAAAGAATATGCAAGATTGTTGCATAGGTACATATATGGCAATGTGGTTTGTTACCTTCCCCCCACCACCTGTATCTGGCATTTCTTCCCATGTTATCCCTTCCCAACTCCCCACCCACCGCTGTCCCTCCCCTGTTTCCCTCCAACAGACCCCATTACGTGATGCTTCCCTCCCTGTTTCATGTGTTCTCATTGCATGCAGTGTTTGATTTTCTGTTCTAGTGTCAGTTTGCTGAGAATGATGTTTATCTTCTTGTTTTTATGACTTGGCATCCTGTTCTTTGTTCTCTTCATCTTATTCCTTACATTGATTTTTATGTAACTCCTGTTATTAAGGACCATAAACTACTTTTCTCTCAAATATTTACTCTGTTCTGAAATGAAAATTCTTTCACAGGTTGGAATATTAAGTAAAAAGAATGAGTGTATGGAGCATGTTTTAGAAAACAAGTTTATTAAAGGAAAGGGGAGCTTTTATAAAAAGGAAGATTAAAAGTGATTAGTACTTAGTTTATAATATAAAGTATCTTAAAATAGAACACTGTCATACTTATGAAATTGGTGTTTGTATAAAACAGGAAGCATTGGGTACAGTTTTTGTATATGTGTATTTTACAGGGTGTAGTTATCCTGAAAATATACATATATTAAACAACCGGGAGGATTAGAGTCACTGTGAATTGTGTTTTACAGTGTTTTGGTGGTGTTTACTTTTGAGCTGTTGCACTGAAAACTTACTATAATTCACTGAAGAGTGTAGTTTATAAGGAGCTCCTTTTCTTCTTTTTCACTTCCAACATACACATGAAAAATGTAGCCTGCAGTGAAGTTTTAATTGCTATCATACTGAACATTCTGTGACTGTGGTCTTCTTTCTTAGAACATTTCTGTCTCAAGGCTTTCCTGTTTTTCTACTAATTTTATCACAAACACTGGGTGATTGTAGCTTTCCTGCAGTATTTTGATATGTATCCTAGTTGTTTTTGGTTAATTGTCTTAGTGTTTGTCTACTGTGTTGAGCAAAGTGAGATTATTTTCCTGTTCCACAGACACCTCGAAAAGTTTTCGGAATTATTTTTAAAGTTTATTTCATTAGGGGGCAGTAGAGTGCTTTGCTTATCTAACCTTTTCTGGCATTCACAGTGTTATTTGAAATAACATTGATATAATTTTGAAGTCAGTAGTTCAAGGAAATGCTAAGTGTTTACATTTCTAATCTGTATAGAACAATAGAGTTCTCTTATTTTCATAAACAAAGTTAATGCTTATTAATCACATATGTATAGAACAAATAAATGAAATCATCATGATTTGGCTTTTTAAATTTGTATATGATCATTCGCCAAAATAAAATATATTAACAGCTTTTACATTATTGACTTTTTTGTTACATTCTGTCACTTGTATTAATTTCTTTATGAGAAAAAAGAAAATAGTCCATGGCTCTATTAGTTTATGATATATCTAGTTCTAGGCCAATTGTAGTCAGATAAAAGTTCTTTATTGTAGAGAGCAATGATGTCATTTGTAACAAATGTTGGTATTTTGACTGACACCAGCACTTTAACTTTGAATATCTTAAAATACTTAAAATTTTCTCTTAATTTGAGTACATATTTGTCTTGTGAGCAAATAAGCTATATCAGTTAAAAAGAAAAGATGTCCTCAGATCTATTTAAGACAAGTTTCTCAGAGAAAAATATATATGCTATTCAAATCATGAATTCTTGTTATAGAAATTTAAAATATTTTCATTTTAAAGGTGTTGTTAGTATTGACTAATTTGGAAGGACCTTCACATTTTTTAGCTATGTACATGAGTTGGTCTGAATTTTCCGTTATTGTTGTTGAGGTATCCCATGTCATGTCTTTATTAGAATAAATCACACTAAAGAATACTTTCTCACCCTTAGACATACAAAGAAGATAATTCAACTGATAGGACATAATTCAAATATTCAAAAAATCATCCTCTCACATGCTTAATATTGTTGAGTGGCTGTTTAAATTGTATATATTTAAGGTATACAACTTGCTATTTTGCTATAAATATGCATAGTAAAATGGTTGCTGCCATTATGAAAATTAACCCATCCATCACCTGCCATAATTACCTTTTTTGTGTGTACGGTAAAATCACCTAGTATCTATTTTCCCATCAAAATTTTACTTTACAATACAACATTATTAACTATAGTCCTCGTGC